ATACCGGTCTTTATCCCGCGCAGGGAATGCTTCCTATAATCGAGCATAAAAGGTCTGCAAATTATCTAAATCTGGCTATCTTGGTTTCATCTGAAAGGCTACATGTTTCCTTATCCATTCATATAAGTTTCATATCCGTATTTGCTGTAGTTTAGGGAAATAGCTGCCAAAGGAAGTGCAAGTTCAACTGCCTCCTTTTTTGTGCGGAATTCTGGCTTCGTGTGCGCTATACCGGTAGTTTTCCCGCACATGGAATGCTTCATATATTCGAGCATAAAAAGTCTAAGAATTATCTAAATCTTCCAATCTTGCTGTCATCTGAAAGGTCATATGTTCCTCTATCCATTCTTATAAAGTTCATATCCATATTTGCAGTAGTTAGGGAAATAGCTGCCAAAGGAAGTGCAAGTTCGAGCCTGAGTGTTTGATACTTTTACGAAATTCTGGCTTCGTCTGCGCTATACTGGTCCTTATTCTGCGCAGAGAATGCTTCATGTAATCGAGCATAAAAGGTCTGCGAATTATCTAAATCTGGCAATCGTGGTGTCATCTGAAAGGCTACCTGTTCCTCTATCCATTCATATGAGTTTCATATCCATATTTGGAGTAGTTAGGGAAATAGCTGCCAAAGGAAGTGCGACTTGTTTTCCAACTGCCTCCTTTTTTGCAAAAATTCTGGCTTCGTTAGCGCTATACTGGTCCTTATCCCACGCAGAGAATGTTTCATGTAATCGAGCATAAAAGGTTTAAAATTTATCTAAATCTTCCAATCTTGCTTTCATCTGGAAGCCCACATGTTCCCCTATTTGTTCGTATAAGTTACATATCCATATTTGGAGTAATTAGGGAAATAGCTGCCAAAGGAAGTGGCAGTTCCTGTCTGACTGTTAGATATTTTTTGCGGAATTTTTCGCTTCGTCTGCGCTATACTGGTCCTTGTCCTGCACAGAGAATGCTTCCTGAAATGGAGCATAAAAGGTCTGAGAATTATCTAAATCTTCCAATCTTGCTGTCATCTGGAAGCCCACATGTTTCCCTATTTGTTCGTATAAGTTACATATCCATATTTGCAGTAATTAGGGAAATAGCTGCCAAAGGAAGTGGCAGTTCTTGTATAACTGTTTGATATTTTTTGCGGAATTCTGGCTTCGTCTGCGCTATACTTGTGTTTATCCCGCGCAGAGAATGCTTCCTGAAATGGAGCATAAAAGGCACCAAGTCAAAATAGAACCGGTTCATGAAGCGGGAAACGATAGACAAACGATAAGCTCCTTACCCGCTTCAAAGTGAAGCGGGCAACGATACGGGGTCTGTAGCAAATGGCTTGCGGTTCGATGAACACTACTCCAGAGTGATACTTTGTAACAATAGGGAGCTTTAGGGATTACATTCATTGTGGCTGGTGGATGAGTCATTGAGCTGTTCACCAACAGCTTGGCCCCAGCCCATTGATATTTCAACATTGTTTAGGGTGTTTGGGGGACGGGTTTGTACTACCGTTTACATGGATATTACGGATTTTTTTTTCTTCAGTTTGCCACACTGCCCCCAAATACCAACATTATTCCAGTTTTCTTACTTTAGTTTTTAGATTGATTTTGAAGACCCGTGATTGTTGCATCTATAATGTTCAAGAAAGTATGCTTCGGTTTTATACATGCGTGCAGTCCTCAGCTGCCTATTCTCTCGTTCTGTAATATTGTGTGTGGAAGACAACACAGCCAAATAATTTTACTTTCAAACAGCATTGCCTTTATCCTTAGTTTTATTATGAAAAACCTCCGTACATTTAGAAGCATTTGGTTGAAAATTAATTCACCAGTTGTTATGGAAAGGAGTGGAAAATAAACGTTATTCCGAGTTTTACAATGGAAAACTAGTGTTGTTAACGTTTCAATGAAAATGTTTCAAGTCCAAGTCAACGGGTAACTGAAAACCAATCTTCAAACAAGAAATGGATTTTAAGTAAAACACAAANAGGCCAAAAGAAGTGCAAGTTCTTGCCTGACTGTTTGATATTTTTGCGGAATCCTCGCTTCGTCTACGCTATACTGGTCCTTATTCTGCGCAGAGAATGCTTCATGTTATCGAGAAGAAAAGGTCTGGGAATTATCTAAATCAAGCAATCCTGGTGTCATCTGAAAGGTCACATGTTCCCCTTTCTAGTTTTATAAGTTTCATATCCATATTTGCAGTAGTTAGGGAAATAGCTGCAAAAGGAAGTGCAAGTTCTTGTCTGGTGTTTGATATTTTTGTGGAATTCTGGCTTCGTCTGCGCTATACTGGTCCTTATCCTGCGCAGAGAATGCTTCATATAATAGAGCATAAAAGGCCTGAGAATTATCTAAATCTGGCAATCTTGGTGTCATCTGAAAGGTCCCATTTTTCCTGTCCATTCATATAAGTTTCATATCCATATTTGAAGTAGTTAGGGAAATATCTGCCAAAGAAAGTGCGAGTTTTTGTCTGCTGTTTGATATTTTTGCGGAATTATGGCTTCGTCTGCGCTATACTGGTCCTCATCCCACGCAGAGAATGCTTCATATATTCGACCATAAAAGGTCTAAGAATTATCTAAATCTTCCAATGCTGCTGTCATCTGAAATGCCACATGTTTCCCTGTCCATTCATATAAGTTTCATATCCATACTTGCAGTAGTTAAGGAAATAGCTATCAAAGGAAATGCGAGTTCTTTTGCAACTGCCTCCTTTTTTTGCGGAATTCTGGCTTCGTCTGCGTTATACCGGTCCTTATCCCGCGCAGAGAATGCTTCATATATTTGAGCATAAAAGTTCTAGGAATTATATAAATCTTCCAATCTTGCTGTCATCTAAAAGGCCACATGTTCCCCTATCTATTTGTTTAAGTTTCATATCCATATTTTTAATGGTTAGGGAAATATCTGCCAAAGAAAGTGCAAGTTCTTGTCTGACTGTTTGATATTTTTGCGGAATTCTGGCTTCGTCTGTGCCATACCGGTCCTTATCCTGCGCAGAGAATGCTTCATGTTATCGAGCAGAAAA